TACTCCTAGAACTCGTGCAGAACCAGAAAAGGCTGCAAATTCAAGCATGAGTAAAAGCACAAAACTAGAGGTACCAGACCACCTGATTACAAAGTATGCTACCAAATTCACAACAGCATGTAATCACAAAGATCAATGGGACAGAATAATAAAGGTTCCAGACGTAAACCCACATATTTACAGCCATAATTTTAACAAAGATGCCAAGAAAATACACCAAAGGAAGGATAGTGTCTGGGTAATAATATGCAAAATAATTAAATTAATTTGATATCTCATTATATGCTAAAAAAAAATCAACTCAAAGTGGATTAAATCTTAAATGGAAGACCACACTTGTGAAAGTACAAGAAAACACTGGGAGAGAAACCTCAGGATCTTTGTAAGGCAAAAAAAAAAAACTTTTTGCTTTTTTTTTTTTTGGAAAGACCTCAGAAGCATAAGCAAATGGACAAATAGGATTGTATTAAACTATAACACTTCTGGAAGAAACAACGAAGAGTGAAGAGACAACCTATAAAATAGGAAAAAATAAACGTAAACTTCTTGTCTGGAAAAGGGAAAAACCTATATATTATAGTAAGGCACTAAAAAACTTTAACAACAGCCAGCAATAATGGGATTTCTTGAAAAACGCAGTAGCCTCAGGTGTTCTGCTACCAAGGCAGTTTCCTGTTAATACATCTGGGAAGGCAGATGATGGCCACAGCATTAAGGCCTCTGCCACCTACGACAGAGATCCAGATGGAGGTCTTGGCTACCAGTTTCAGTCTGGTCCGGCCCTAGCAGCTGCCAAGTTTATTAACTGTAATCCCAAAAGCCTGGCCAAGAGTGTTTGAAGTAAATGATAACTAGATGTTAAAATTTAGAGAAGTAATGACAGCCAAAGTAATTTTTTTAAAAGATTTATTTTATTTTTATTGGAAAGGTGGATATACAGAGAGGAAAGACAGAGAGGAAGATCTTCCATCTGATGATTCACTCCCCAGGCGGCTGCAACGGTTAGAGCTGAGCCAATCCGAAGCCGGGATCCAGGAGCCTCTTCCAGGTCTCCCATGCGGGTACAGGGTCCCAAAGCTTTGGGGCATCCTCGACTGCTTTCCCGGGGCTGTATTTTCTTTTCTTTTTTTTTTTTTTTTAAAGATTTATTTATTTTTATTACAAAGTCAGATAAATATACAGAGAGGAGAGACACAGAAATATCTTCCATCTGATTATTCACTCCCCAAGTGATCGCAATAGCCAGTGCTGTGCCGATCCCAAGCCAGGAGCCAGGAGCTCTTCCAGTTCTTTCATACGGGTGCAGGGTCCCAAGGTTTTGGGTCATCCTTGACTGCTTTCCAGGCCACAAGCAGGGAGCTGGATGGGAAGCAGGGCTACTGGGATATGAAATACCAGTGCGTGTTCAAGGCGAGGATTTTAGTCGCTAGGCCACTGTGCCAGGCCCAGTTCCCAGTGGTTTCTAAACTACAACCTTTATACAAACAGGGGGAAAAGAGGGTTAAAATTTTGAAGAATTACTTATTTGAAACCCAAAGTTATGAAGAGGAGACGACACAGGGAGTCAGAGGTCCTATCTGCTGGTTCACTCCTCAGATGGCTCCAACAGCCAGGACTTTACCAGGTTGAAGCCCAGAAACACATGCTGCATCCATTAAGAAAAAGCTTATTCTACCATGCTACAGCACTGACGCTCACCACCACCACCACCACCACCACCACCACCCCTTTTTAAAGATTTATTTATTTTTATTGGAAAGCAGATAAACAGGCGAGACAGAGAGGAAGATCTTTCATCCAATGGCTCACTCCCTAAGCAGCCCCAACGGCCGGAGCCAAGATGGGCCAGGAGTTTCTTCTGGGTCTCCCATGCGGGTGCAGGGTCCCAAAGCTTTGGGTTATCCTTTCTGCCCTCCCAGACCACAAGCAGGGAGCTGGAAGGGAAGAGGGGCTGCCGGGACCAGAACTGACACCCATATGGGATCCTGATGCATTCAAGGAGAGGACTTTAACCACTATGCTATTGCGCCAGGCCTGTCCACCCTTTTAAAAAAAGATTCGTTTTATCTATTTGAAAGAGTTAGAGAGAGAGAGATCTTTCATTCACTGATTTATCCCAAATGACCACAAGTGCTGGGGCTGGGCCAGGTGCAAGTCAGGAACCAGAAGCTTCACTTGAGCCTCCCACATGGACAGCAGAAGTCCAAGAAGTTGGGTCATTTTCTGGTGCTTTCCGAAGACATCAGCAGGGAGCTAGATGCAACTCAAATGGGTGCAGGTGGCATATTAACCCACTTTGCCACAACAGTGATCCCAATTTCAAGCCTTCATAATTTCTGTTGGCAGCAATTTCTACAAATTTTTATTGAGTTCTATAATTTTAAATATCATACTCCTATTGTCATGTCTAATAGATCTTCCCACTTTACACTGACTTGCTACTAGATGACTTCACTCTCCAACACACGTTTGTTCATTCTCTTTTTGTGAATGATCTTTGGCTCATTGTTCCATCTTGCCCTTTATCATTTACCTCTACCCCAGTCTAAGTACATTTTTCATCTTCAGATATGCCAGAGAGCCCATCATTTCAATTAGATAAACTCAAAGACTTACATCCATGAGGTTCTTCAGTTACAATATGGCATAACACCATAACAAAAGCAAAATTAGAAATGATAAAGAAAACGCACAATATTCAACTGTCCCATGATTATATCCTGGCTACAAAGTTAAATTTACTAAGATTGGATTTTTCATTAATACTAACAAATTCAAAGTTTCACTGTCCTAATTCAATGTACATTAAGTAATATTATATATATATATATATTTAAGAATTATTTTATCGGAAAGGCAGGTCTACAGAGAGAAGAAGACAGGGAAAGATCCTCCACCTGCTGGCCCACTCCCCAGGTGACCACAATGGTTGGAGTTGAGCTGATCCAAAGCCAGAAGAGAGGAGCCAGGAGCTTCCGTGTCTCACACGTGGGTGCAGGTCCTTGGTCTTTGGGCTGTCCTCTACTGCTTTCTCAGGCCACAAAGCAGGGATGTGCATGGGAAGTGGAGCAGCAGGAACACAAACCAGTGCCCACATGGGATCCTGGTTGCATATAAGGGTAGGATTTAGCCACTAAACTATCTCACTGGGCCCTTAATATTATATGCAAAGCATCATTATTCTTATTTGGGCTTATCCATATAAATTTAATGATCAAAAATGTTCTCTCCACTTATACTGAGTATCATCTGTCAGAGAAATATTATGCTTAATATGACTAAATAAATGAACTTTTTACCCTTACCCTAAAATCCAAAAACCTATGAAAATAAAAAAATTCTTCCCTTGTGGGCCTGGCACACTGGCTCAATTACCTAATCTTCTGCCCTTAAGTACCAGGATCCCATATAGGTGCCAGTTCATGTCCTTGCTGCTCCCTGCCTGTGGCCTGGGAAAGCAGTCGAGGACAGCCCAAAGTCTTGGGACTCTAAGGCTGGACACACGTGGAAGACCCAGAGAAACTTCCTGGCTCCTGGCTTCGCATCAGCTCAGCTCCAACTGTTGTGGCCACTTGAGGAGTAAACCAACAGGTAGAATATCTTTCTCTGCCTCTACTCTGTTAAAAAAAAAATCTGCCTTTCCAATAAATAAATCAATCTCTAAGAAAAAAAAATTTCCCTTAAAAATAGTCACTAAGTTGCAGAAGACTGTTAGGTCTTCATATCATTTTGTATCACCAAATCAGTGGTTCTTACCAATTCTTCATTTAAACATTTTTAATTTTTTTATTTTGGTGCCGGCATTGTAGCATAGCCAATTTAAGTACTGCATATAATGTCAACTGTTCTACTTCAGATCCAGCTCCCTGCTAATGTGCCTGAGAAAGCTGAACATGACCCATGTACTTGGTCCCTTGCTGCCCAGGAATCCTGGGCCCCTGGATTCAGCCTGGCCTGGCCACAGTGGCTGTAATCCTTTGGCTGTGAACCAGAGGATGGAAGATCTCTTTCTCTTCCTTATGTCATCCTTTCAACAATAAACAAGCAATTCTTATACTTTACTACATTAATTTGAAAGGTAGAGAGACAGAAAGAAAAGGATAAGGGGAAGACACTCAAATTTCATCTGGGTCTCCTACAGTGGTAGGGAGCCCAGCATCTGCTGTCTCTTAATGTCTGCATTAGCAGGCAGCTGGGAAAATGGGCACTCTGATAAAGGATACAGGTGCCCAGTAATGCCTTATTAATTGTTGTGCTCAACATCACCACTGCCTCAGACAGAATACATGACAGTACAGAATACATGACAAGCAAATAGTATCACTACTCAAAGGTGAGAAAACTCTTCATTTCCAATTCCAAAACGTGGCTGGCTCCAAGGGATTTGCAATGGGACTGTGGAATCTACACATCACCACTATTAAAACAGCACATACACATATATCCCCACCACGTGCTGGTGGCAACTATGATGGTTGGAAAGTGGCCCTGCTTGGCAAGTGCCTGTGGTGGCATGGCAAGTGCTCTGTCCCCTTACCCCGAGACCTTTAAAAAAACAAACAAATCAATCACAGAATAAGCAACTCCGCTATCTTGTACAGTTAACACAGAGCTGGTATTAACCAGGCCCAGGGGTTCCTCCCAGCCAATGGTTGCTTTTCTCACAGCAGTGCAACACTTGCCTAGATATACAAGGCAACCTAGGCTGCTGCCTGCAGCTGGGGACAAAAACAGTTTTCTTTACAAAGTCCCCAGCCTTAGATATCTGTTAACAGCAACACAAAATAGACTACAGCAATCACAAATCTCATCTCAATATCAGGAAGAAACATGTTCGATGGCCAACAATTTTATAGTACTAGTCTTTCATCATGACGCCTGTATATCACCATCAGCTGTTTCCTAGGATCCGCCTTACTGCCATCAGCTAAAAAGACATCAACAATGCTGGTACACAACAATCCATCAATTCTTAGACTCTTGAAACAAGAGACATTAACCTTTTTCTGTGCCTGAGAATATGGAGATGATTTTATTCCTCGGCTTTTTTTCTTCTGGAACAGAGGGCAAAGGCTTCAAGCTGTGATTGGCTGACAAAGGGTCTTTGCCTCCAGTGCTAAAAATGGTGCTGCTCATTCGCACTGGAGGTGCTGGAGGCTTGTCTTCCAGTTCCCCGTTATCAGACATGGTTCAGAGTTAAGAAATGGCCTGGAAAAGAGGGGAAAAAACAATTAATAATAAGGTAAAAAATAAAAACAACTGTATGGATAGGCACAAAGTAAAAATATCTATATCCTGGGGCCAGCACTGTAACACAGCGAGTCAAGTCACTGCCTGTGGGCACTGCTTCATGTCCTAGCTGCTTCACTCTCAATCCATCCCTCCACTAAGAGCCTGAGGAAAGCAGCACACACATGCTAGTGCAAGTGACTGGACCTATGCCATCCCCGTGGAAGACCCGGATGGAGCTCTTGGCTTCAACCTAGCCCAGTCTTGGCCTCTGCATCCATGTGGAGATTAAACCACTTGATGTTAAGATCTCTTTCTGTAATTCCTCCAAAGAAAATAGACAAATCTCTATTTTTAAAAATATTTTCTCATTTTTTAAAGCAGATTTTACAGAGAGATAGAGAAGATCTTCCATTGCTGGTTCATTCCCCAAAAGGCCACAAGGGCCAGAGCCGAGTTGATCCAAAGCTGGAATCCAGGAGCTCCATCCTGGTTTCCCTCATAGGTGCAGAGGCCCAAAAGCTTGGGTCAACCTTTGCTGCTTTCCCAGGCTGTAAGCGGAGAGCTGGATTGGAAATAGAGCAGCGAGGACAAGAACTAGCATCCATGTAGATGCCAGCACCACAGAGTCGAGGATTCACTTCCTTGTCACTACTGCAAACACTGCAGGGGTGGGGAGGTTTTTCTGCCATATGGATATTTATAACATCATTCATGGGCCCAAAATTATCAACTTAAAAATTAGCCAGCTATACATGCACTGAATTTTGAATTCTGTCTATGGTCTTTTAATTTTTTTTTAAAGATTTATTTTATTTTTTTATTGCAAAGTCAGATACACAGAGGAAGCTGCACCAATCTGTAACCCAGAGCCGGCCAGTGTTGCGCCAATCCGAAGCCAGGAGTCAGAAGCTATATCTATATGTCTGTATCTATGTATCTATATCTGCATCTGTATCTATATCTATACCTATAAAGATTTATGTATCTAGATATCTATATCTATATATAGATATATAGAGAGGAGGAGAAGAGACACAGAGAAATATCTTCTGTCTGATGATTCACTCTCCAAGTAGGCACAACGGCTGGTACTACACTGATTCGAAGTCAGGAGCCAGGACCTCTTCCAGGTGTCCCACATGGTTGTAGGGTCCCAAGGCTCTGGACCATCCATAACTGTTTTCCCAGGCCACAAGCAGAGAGCTGGATGGGAAGTGGGGCTGTCAGGATTAGAACCAGCACCATATGGGATCACAGCACATTCAAGGCGAGGACTTTAGCCTCTAGGCTACTGCGCCAGGCCCAAAACTGACATCTTTTAATTCGATGTTAGGAAACAACACATTTATCACACTGAACAAGATTATGACTGTAACTGAATCCTGATTTAATAATATTAAAGGATTTAACTAAAAAAAATACATAGACAATGAAAAGGATAATAACTGCATTTTGAGAATATTAAAAATAAATTTCTATTTTATTGAATTTGAATACTAGCACCTATAGGAAAGTAGGTATAATTCCAGAAGACCTGGACTGATGGAGAGATGTCCTGCCTAATTACACTCTGCGTTCTACAGCTTTGTTTTACTTGCTGATGCACTACTTTGGTATGTCTTATCTCTCAAAATGCAAATATTTTTCAGCCTACAGAAGCGGAAGAAGAAAAGGTTAAAGAGGAAAAATGCAATTTCTGGGGTTAACTGCTTGGAAAAACAACCAGGAAAGAAAAATAAAGAAGATGCCTATCTGTCTGTAAAAGAACAAAGACTGGTCCAGGAGAGAAAGGGTGGTGCAGAAGACACAGCATAGGCCATCCTCCCACGAGCGGGATAGTTTTCCCCACCCTGCTTCCTTCTTACTGTTGGCTGTTTGCAAATGCAGGTCATTGCCAGGGTACACATTATCACATGGAACCTACATTGCTACATACAGAAAAGTTTGGTAAAGACATTGCAATGATTAATTCATGAATTGGTAAATCAAGACAGGATTCAGGTCTTAATCTGACCACAACACTAAGGCACACAGATTAGCACTGTCACAAAACAGTCAAGGCACAATAATCACTTAGTGAAAAACTGACTACAAATTCTAACCTGACAATTCATTCATAGATAGAAAAAGTCTATAAATTGTCAATGCACCTTCAATTTAAAAAAAAAAAAAAAAAAAAAAACCTTGTGCTGTGAGCCCCGCACATTAGTCTAGCGGCTAAAGCCCTCACCTTCCACACATCGGGATCCCATATGGGTGCCAGTTCCAATCCCAGCAGCCCCGCTTCCTATTTAACTTGTTGCTTGTGGCCTGGGAAAGCAGTCAGGAATGGCTCTATGCCTTGGGACCCTGCACATGCGTGGGAGACCCAGAAGAGGTTCCGGGTTCCAGGTTTCGGACTGGCTTAGCTCCAGCTGTTGCAACCGCTTAGGGAGTGAATGGAAGATCTTCCTCTTCGTCTCTTCCTTGTATATCTTACTTAGCAATAAATAAATCTTAAAAAAAATAATAAATAAAACATGAGGTGCATGCTTTCCAGATTTGTGGCTAACATTACAGGTTGTGGAATCCAACTGCTTTGGCTAAAATCCTGTCTCTAACACTTTCTTAAGATTGCAACCTTGGACTACGTATTTAACAGTGTCTCATTGTTCCTTGGTGGGTTCCAGGCCAGAGACAGGACAAAGTGTAGAGCATTCTGTAGTATCAGAAGGTACAGAAAAACTTCAAACAAAGGCATGTCAGAGGGATCAGCAAAAGCTTTCTGAAAGGCCAATGTTGAACCAAAGTTGAAAGTGTTTCGTTAGAAACAAAATTAGTATAGCATTAGATTATAAACCAAATATAAAGTAAAAATACATCTTCCATATTGATACAATAAATAAATACATAAATGTGCAGATGAAGGGATACATCTATCTCAGAAGAATCCCAAATTCATGTATGCAGACATATTTCCCCCTAAGATCTTAAGCTTAATTTCTACCTCCCCTCTTAAAAACAGGCTAAACTTTGGGACTCAATCTCAAAGAACAGATGATGGAAAATGAAAAATGACTCTGCAGTTAAAAGAATCTGGCAATCACAGCATCAATCAAGTGACCAGTCCACATCACTTGGCCCTCAGTGACGGCAAGCATACTTCTGTGGCGTTCTCCCTAAAAAGACAGTACTCAAGTGTAATCATGAGCAAAACACCAAATCCAACTGAGGGATGCTGTATACAACTGAGAACTAGCAAATGTCCCCAAACTGCCAAGAACATAAAAAACAAAGAAAGACTGAGAAACTGACATGTATCAGAGAAGAGACTAGTGTACATGCAACATAGTACTCTAGGCTAGTCTCAAACAGGAAAAATAAAAGTGACCAGATACTGCAAGGAAAGAAGGGAATAGGAAAACAATAGCCTCACCCACTCTCCTCTAGCCCTTGACCCTTTGCACCCTAATCAAATATGTAAAAATTATCAAAGATAAAATACAATTAAAAAAAAGCAAAAATCCTGGTAAAATCCAAGTAAAACCAAGGATCTAATGAACATTAACATACCACTATCAGCTTCTTTGCTTTGCAATGCATATCACATTTATGTGAGATACAGTAAGGAAGCTGGGTGACAGGTAAATATAGCTAGGAAATTTGTTTTTGCAACTTGTCTGTAAATCTCAAGTTATCCTAAATCTTTTAAAAAGTTTTTGAAAAAAAAAACAGAAGTTTCTCAAGAGTTAAACATAAAGCTCCCATAGGAATTAGCATTTCTACCTCAGGTGTATAGCAACAAAACTGAAAATATTCACACAAAAACTTGTAGGGAAATGTCCACATACACAGTCCTAGTAGCCAGACCACAAACAGCCCCAATACGCACCAACTGAAGCTGCAAAGTGGACACACAAAGCGGACATTCCATCCAACAGAATATTGTTCAGCCACACAAAAGGAGTGACATACTGACAAACAGGATGCTATGGGTGAGCCCTGAAAGATTAGTTGAAGAAAAGCCAGGCACAAAACGCTGTAACGGATTGAGTCCACTGAGACAAAATGCCCGGAACAGGCTAATCCACAGAGATAGAAAGTTCAGTTCATAAAAATGTTGATTAGTGTTTGCCAGAGACTGAGGAAAATGAAATGGGACTACCAGTGAGCACTGAGTGTCTATGGGAGGAATGGAAATGCTCTAAAGTCAAGTCAGCAGTGATGCCTGCACAACTCAAAGATACTAAAACTACTCAACTGTGTACTTTAAAATGGTAAACTGTAGGCTCTGTGCAACTGTATCTCTACAAAAAAGTGAGGAGCAGGCCCTGGGGCAGAGCATGCCAAACCACCACCTGGGATGCCTGCATCCAAATCAAGAATGCTGGTTCAGGTCCCAACTACTCCACTTCTGACCCAGTTTCCTGCTAATGCATCCTGGCAGACAGCAGATGATGTCTTCAGTGCCCACACGTCTGCCACACAAGAGATCCAGAAGTTCCAGGCTCCTAGCTTCAGCTTGGTCTAGCCTTGCCGTTGGAGGAATTTGTAAAACGAACAACAAAATAAACATTAAAAAAATAAAGCCAGCTTAAAAAGATTAAAAGATGTAGGGGCGGGCAACATGGTACTTACAGTAGGTTAAGCCACCACCTGTACCACTCACATCCCATATGGGATCTGGCTCACATCTCCGCTCCTCTACTTCTGACCCAGCTCCTGGCTAATGGCCTGGGAAAAGTGGAAGAAGATGGTCCAAGTGTTTGAGCCCCTGCCACTCATCTGAAGACCTGTACTGGAGGTTCCTGACTCCTGCTTTGTCCTTGCCCGGCCATGGCCACAACAGCCATTTGAAACAGAGAATAGAAGATTGATATGCATATTTCAAATAAATTTTTGGAGATTCTAACTGCTGATTCACTTTCCAAACTGCTCCAACAGTTGGGCTGTCCAGGCCAAACCCAGAAGCCAGGAACTCCAACCTGTTCTCTCAG